CTTCTCCCCCTGGCAAAAAAAAAAAAAAAAAAAAAAAAAAAAAAATAACAAATGGAATTAAATAAACACATATTTTAAAAAACACAATATATATATATCACATCAAGGGTCCATACAAATTATATAACAATCAAAAAGAACATTCCTTATTAATGTTATGTGTATTTACTTTACAGAGTAATACACTCATCACTATGCTAAGAACGTATATACATTTTCACTCCATTCCCACAACGCTCCAACACTAAAACCGCCTGGATTTTATGGATGAAAAAACAGACTCAGAGAGGCTAAGTGACTTGCCCTCAATGAGGCTGCTACAAAGCCTGATTGAGTGGGGGAAGGAGCCCAGCAGGTGGCGTGGAAGTTAAGGTGCTAGACTCCCACTTGTTCAACCATGGTTCGAGCCTTGGACCCAGTGGCTAGCTTTCTCACATGCTCCCTTGTGAGCACACATGCCCTACAGCAAAAATTTTTTTAAAATAATAAAATTAAATAAATAATTCTTAAAAAAATATAAAAGAAGAAGAAAGTCCACTGTGTCCTCTGAAGCCATTGTTTTCACAACGACCCCTCCACCACCATGTCTGGCCATTTCAAATCACCATGAAAGGATCCCTGGTACTTAACATGCAGGATGCCAGGCAAAGTGAATTCAGGTGTCCTCTAAAACCTCTGCGCTCTACCACACTTCTGCTGAAGAAAGGGTTCAGGTGGCCACTTCGCACATGGTTTTGGAAGTCTGCTTCTTACAGTCATTTAGGAGTCTTCACTTTGGAAAGAGCTTAGGCGAAAAACACTCAAATCATCAGTAAGTCAGAAATGCTGAAGAGGAGCTTGATCAAACAATCTCAAGTTTTTATAAGTAGGAATAACCTCCCAAACTTGAGCTCTATAAAACCTGAATTCTACTTCACCTAGAATAAGGGGGAAAAAACTTACAGAACTCACAGAATACCCCCAAGATGGCAACATAAATCTGAAAAGAAAAAGGATTAGACAATCAGTAACAACAGAATTCTAAATATATGTACATATATATAATATATATACATATAAAAGGCAGGACACACACTGCCTTTACAGTTTATGGGGCAAAAGAGGAACGATGTCCTCCAGCACACCCCTCTGCTGATGTAACAGAATTTGAAAAGAAATGGGCCAAAGGAGCAGAAATTCCAATTTCTGCTCAGAGGTCATTCTAAAGGCTTAGGAAATATTTTCCTAACACTGTACGACATTGTTTTCATTACTTTTTCTAGACATGTCTATATATTTATTTGGAGGCCTTGAGACATGATAGCAAATAAAAATGTTAGAGTCTCTTGAAACATGTCCCAGAGTATAAAATAATAATTTTATTTATTTATTTATTTATTTATTTATTTGGAGAGGTTTTTGCTATAGGGTGTGTGAGCTTGCCAGACAGAGAGAGACATAGAGACAGAAAGCGAGAAATCACCCCCCAGGGGGGATGGTCACACCGCCATCCTTTTCCTCCATTCTCCTCTCGGGATCTTGGGCACGCACACACATGCGCCCGGCGTGAGTTTTAAGCCACTGAGTCCGGGACGCGAACTGCGGTTGACTATGTGGGAGTCCAGCAACATAGCCATTACGCTAACTGCTGGTTCTCCAAAAATTTTATTTTTAATTCACCAGAGGGTACATGCACTTGCCAGAGAGAACGACAGAGACAGAGAGAGGAAGAAGGAAAAAGCACCCCGACACATACACACACACACACACACCACACACACATGGGGAATGGTCACACCCTAATCTTTTCTCTTCCATTTGAGCCCATATGCACATGAGCTTAGCATGTTTTAAGTTGCTGGGTTTGGGATTCTAACTGTGCAGTCAATCACGTGGAATCTGGCTCCTTAACCACTAAGCCATGGGGTTTTCCCTCAAAACCTTTTTTTAAAAAAATATAATTATTTATTTTATTTATTCATTCATTTATTATTATTTTTTAAAATCTGACCAGAGAAAGGATGAGAGTGAGAGAGAGGAAGCGAGAAAGCAAGCCACCAGATTCAGGACTTGAACCCTGGTCAGCCATGTGGGAGTGTCCAGCGCCTTAACCACCACGCCACCTGCTGGTCCCCTCAAAACCTTTTTAAAGGTCACTAATTAATTTTTTTTTTCCATTAGAGAGAAAGAGACAGAGTAAGAAACAGATAGGCAAGCCCCTCAGAAACTTCATGCTGCAATCCATCCTAACTCAGCCACCCTAGATTATGGGCAGGTAGGTGTATATGTAACTGGCATGCTCAAAGAATCTCAGGGACTCAAGCCCAGGACCTTTCCCATGTGGGTCCAGCTGTGTTACTGTTGCACCAGGGCCTGCCTGGCCACCTTTGGAATTTTTGAGTTCCAAGAAGCTTGATAGCTCAGATCCTATCTTCATATTAAAAAGTTGGTTTATAGGGCCAACAGATGACATAGCAATTATGGCACTGGACTCCACATGGCCAACCATAGCTCGAGTCCAATCCCAGTGGCCTAAAACTCATGCTGGGCACATGTGCATGCCCAAAATTATAGGAGAAGGGATTGTGGCATGGCTAACCCTCTGGGGGGAGAGGTGATTTCTCACTTTCCCTCTCATTAACACTCTCTCTTCCTGGCAAGCACATGCACCCTAAAACAAAAACCTCTTTAAAAAGAGAAAGAATGTGACTTATGGGGCCAGGGATTGGTTTAGTGGTTAAGGAGCTGGATTCCCACATGGCCAACTGCAGTATGAGTCCCAGATCTGGTGGCTTGAAACTCACACCAGGCGTGTGTGCATGTACGCGCACAGCCACCTCCCTGGGAGTGATTCCTCTCTTTCTCTCTCTGGTGAGCGCACATGCCCTATAGCAAATATCTCTCTAAACAACTTTTTTTTTTTTTTTAATTTAAAAAGGAGTGTGGCATTTTTTCCCCCTAAATGCCTGATCTTACACTTCTTATCCATGTTCATCTGTTTATCCTGTCCACTCACAGACTTCTTGTGGCTTTCTCTATGGGCTTAGCATTTTACTGCTGAAGAATTCTTGGCTCCAACAAACTGAGGAGGGTACACTCTACACCTATGATACACAGAAGAGTTCGACAGTCCAGCAGCCAAGGAGGAATCTAGGCATCAGGCTTTCACTGTGGAGGAGGTTCCATTCCCAGTTCTGAGTTTCTTCCAGGAAGTGAAAGCTGCGCATGTGCCACATTAGTGGCAAGAAAGCAGCACTAATCCCAATGGTTTTCTTACCAAAATGT